TACAATAATTACTGTCGACTACTATTCAATACAGAGTATTTTATGACAGCAATGATTGTTGCTCATTGTATTTATTTGTACCATTATTTGAAAAGCTGAAAGTCCTAGGCTACTCGATAAATCGGAATATATAGATTTGTCAGACTGACATCAGCTTTCAATTGACTGTCAGATTTGATAGTTTGCTGATTAAACGTTACATTAGCTACATTTCGCTTTACCCAAGAATACAAAGTTACTAGTAGGAGGGCCACTCGCGAAAACGCTTTTGAACTTCTGACTTTTGACACATTTTTCCACGAGCTGGATATGGAATGAATGCCACTGTAGGAGGTGTACCATTATAATTTATACAACGAACCTACGGAGTAATAAATCATCTGACCGGCACACGCCTCGTTCCTATTGGTCCGTTTTCGGTAGATAAGCCGCCAAGTTCACAATAGCACTTAAATTCTTTCCAAAGGCCTATGACGTGCGGTTGAATTTTGTTGTGTGTGCTTCATATACAGTGAAAGCTCTCCTTGCGGACAGCTCCTATAAGCGGACATCTCTTTTAACCGGACAAAGTTCCTGGAACCGAATTTCAGCCATCAATTTTCAATGTTAAATGCATTCCGATAAACGGACGCGGACACTAGATTTTCCTGTATGTGATCAAAAAATTTCCCATAAGCGGACGCGAAACTCTAATACCCGGACGATTTTTTAGTTCCGCTTATTGCAATGCACATATCTACATACATAAAATTCGGTAATTCCCCGATTTATATTAGGTGATTCCCCATTTACGCATTTCTTTGGGTAGCCTGTATGTAATCTTGTGGCTTGTCTTCAGTTCAGGCAAATTCGTGGTTGATTGAGTTACGTATTTTATTATTGTAACTGTAAAATGGCACCAAAAAAAGGATGCTCTCGTTAAAGGAAAAGATGGAAGTTGTTAACGTATTAGACAGAGAAAGTGTTTCAGTTCGTCATTTGGCAAAGAGGTTTAATATTGGGAAAACGCAAGCAGCTGAAATTGCCAAAAATAAGGAAGATATCAGGAGTAAATGGCAATCAGGAACTAATATAAATCAAAAGAAGGATTTTTTAAAAAAGGAAGGTTTTGCTATAGACAAAACATGTTTTGAGTGGTTTGTGAAAGCTAGAAGTCAGAACATTCCAATCTCAGGGCCGTTAGTGAAAATGAAAGCTAAAGAAATCGCCACTACTTTGGGCTATAATAATTTCAGTGCGTCCGACGGGTGGCTGCAAAAGTGGCGCAAGAGACATAGTGTGAGTTTCAAATGCATATCTGGCGAAGCTGCTGCAGTAGATCAAGTTGATGTGTCACAATTTTTGGAGAAACTTCCGTCCATGTTGCTTGGCTACAAACCAGAAGATGTGTACAACGCAGATGAGAGTGGACTTTTTTTTCGCGCATTGCCCGACAAAACTCTGTCCTTTAAAGGAGAAACATGTGTGGGTGGAAAGTTGTCTAAAGATAGACTAACCATTTTATTCTGTGCAAATATGGCCGGTGAAAAATGCGATTTGATTGTGATCGGGAAAGCGGCTCGTCCCCGTGCTTTAAAAAACGTTGCTATTAAGGATCTACCAGCGACTTGGAAATGCAACAAAAAGGCATGGATGACCCGAGAAATCATGTCTGAGTGGTTAGTCGAATTCGACCGGAAAATGAGAATCCAAAAAAGGCAAGTTCTTTTATTTTTAGACAATGCATGCTCTCATCCTCGTGATATGAAAATGAAAAATGTGAAAATTATATTTTTACCGCCAAACACAACTTCTGTTTGTCAGCCCATGGATCAAGGTGTCATACAGAACTTTAAATTTTATTATCGGCACTTGATTTTAAAACATATTTTAACAAAAATTGACGATGGTCAAAGCTTATCTGAGCTTACAAAGTCTATCAATGTGTTAGAAGCTTTGTATTTTATAAAAACAGCATGGAATAAAGTAAATTCCTCTACAATTAAAAACTGTTTTGGCAAAGCTGGATTCAGAAAAAGTGAATGTAGCTCAGAATTTGCTGAGCAAAATTATTGCGATGCTGTAGACGATCTGCCCTTAGCGACACTTGCTCAGTTACTGCGACATGCCAAACATTTAGGAGTAGCAGATCCCCAGAAAGTAGATGATTTCCTGGCCATAGACAATAACATAACAACAGAAGAAAATGCCATTGGCAACTTTTCGAATTTGGATGTAGAAAGCCCAGGCCAACTTGAATATGGTAGTCCAAACGACTCAGAAGAAGTGGAACTGGTGGACTCACTAAGCGATTCAAAAACGATAAATTCATATGGGGAAGCTCTAAATCATATTTCTATATTGAAAAAATTTGCTAAAGATGATTTCACTGCATTTCAACATTTGAAAAATTTAGAAAGTTATTACGAAAATTGTCTCCTTCAGCAAAAAAAGGTGAAATTTCGTCAGACAAACATTTTAAACTTTTTTCAACAAGCTAAAGAATAATGTTTTTTTTAAATTCTCGTACCATGTATTGAAGCATTTATGTTTTTGTATGCGTATATGTACATATATTATATAGATATATAGAATAAATACATACTTTAAAAATGTGGCGAGTTTCTGTTTCATTTTTCTCATGATTATAATACCTCATTTCCTCATGATTATATACCCCGTTATTTATACTCTATACTTACATACTCTCTTTTAAACGGACACCTCCCATAAGCGGACAAAAGTTACGGAACCGTGAGTGTCCGCTTATGGGAGCTTTCACTGTATTTTGGTGAAACAACTTTTAAAAGGATATTAGACAAAAGTACCTTATTAGACGAGGGCCAATCACCAAGAAAACGGACCAAAAGAGCTTTGTCGGTTTCTGAAAAAGACACTATTATAAATATTTATATAGCTTCTCGGGAGCGCTATCCAAATGAAACTCAGCCAGAACGTGTAGCCTTTGTTTCAAGAGCATCACGTGAGGATTTAGCTTTGATCTATAATTTAAAATGTTTTGTAGTTTGATGTATTATTCTAAATAATAGTTATTTTTTGTTAAATATCTTACCCACTAATATGATAGCTACTTCTATTGCATACATTTTGATTTTTACAACTTATTTTCAATTAATTTTATTATTTATTATTGCATGTATACTAAGTGACATATAAATCCGAACACCCAGTTTAAATGGTTTTATTTTAATAAAATTTTGTATAACTACTTAATGAAGCATAATAAGAAAATGATAAAAATTTCAAAATGATTGCACTGCTTTAAAGCCCTTTGACCTTTAATAATGTGTGGATGCACCCTGATGTGCTACGCATTCTCCAACGCGCCTAGGCATGCTTCTGGCCAACTCCTCTCGAAGTGCTTCTAGAGTCTGAGGAGGACGTTGCAAATTGAGCAATCTCCTACCCATCATATCCCACACGTGCTCAATTGGGGATAAGTCGGGAGATCTTGGTGGCCATGGTAACAATGTGACATCATTATGTTGAAAGAAGTCTATTGTGACTCTTGCAACATGTGGTCGGGCATTATCTTGTTGGAAAGTTGGATCTGCCAGGGTGTCAAGATAGGGTAAAAGATGGGGTTCTAGAACTTCGTGGATATAACGCTGCGCGTTCATGTTACCTCTGATGAAGATTAAAGGTGACCTGGAACCATAAGCTATAGCACCCCAAACCATAACTCCAACAGTGTGATGAACATGTCTTTCAACAAAAAACTGTGGATTCCTCCTTTCACCACGTCGCCTTCTAACCCTGGCACGACCATCGTGCATGGCTAAACAAAATCGAGACTCGTCACCAAAGACAATACTGTTCCATTCCTGATCCCAGAGTGACCGTTGTCTGCACCACTCAAGGCGATTACGTCGGTGTTCTCTAGTTAAAGGGAGGACCCAGTGTAGCCGGTATGAAAACAAGCCAAAACTTCTCATTCGTCGGTAAACACTTCGCATGCCAATAGGTCTTCCGTGTTCTGCAAACCATTCATTTGCAATGGACCTGGTAGTGGAGAAACGGTCCCTTAAGGCCAATAATCTTAGGCGGCGATCTTCACGGTCTGTTGTTCTACGGCGGCGTCCAGTGCCCCTTGCTCTTTGCGTACGGCCTTCTCGAATCCATGCCTGACAACACCCAACCACAGTGTCTACACTTCTTTGCACTCTAACTGCAATTGCCCGAAAAGAAAGTCCAGCCCCTATCAAACTCACTAAGTTGACGAAATCGCACAGGTCTCCGTACTCTAGGCATCGTAACCGATCGTAAAGGATGTCAAGAACCAAAATCCGCCAACGTTGATTCTAAGAGGGGTTTTCACGATACGAGTACACTCGGTCCGAGTGCGCGGTACGAGCTAAATCGTATAGGATTCTACTTAGATGGTAGTCTACACGTTCCGAGTTAAAGCAGCCTCCGAGTAGCATTTATTTCAGTTCGTTAATGTTATCATGTCGACTAATTTATTGCTACAAGGCATAGAAGTAGTGGCAGATATGCTTATTTCGGAAATAAAAGGGCAACAAAAACCAAGAAAAAAAAGCAAAAGAAAGATTTGGACCCGCAATTGGATTTTACGGCGTAATCAACAGGGTGCATCAAATAATTTCCTTTGTGAAGTAAACATAGAAGATCAGGATACCTATAAAAATCATTTACGATTAAACAGCACACAATTTGAATTTCTTCTCAAAAGAGTTGCACCAAAAATACAGAAGGCAGATACTCTTATGAGGGAAGCGCTACCAGCAAGGGTTAAGCTTGAGATAGTTTTGCGTTATCTAGCTACTGGTGACTGCTTTCGCAGTTTGGAGAGTAACTTTCGGGTTCCAAAATCCTCGATATCCCAGTTTCTACCTGCAGTGTTAGATGCTATTTACGAGCCATTGGAAGAATTTATACAGGTCAGTAAGTACAAATCGTATTAATTATTTATTCAAGTAAATACACATTTCTATTGGGTGAGGAGTGAATTAATTTTTGTGATAGCTACTTCTGATATGTTATTTTCCAGGATCTTCAGGCACAGCATCTTCACTAATAGTCGGTATGTTTCTTATAGCCTCTTCTAATATATTCTCTGCTCGAACGTCATTTTCAGACCCTGTTGCCTGAATGACAGTATTTGGTGGAGTATATGTTTTCAAAACTCGAATGGGAATATTTTGACCAGCATCAAATATATCCACATGTTCTGGTATTTCGATAAAGCATTCAGATTGTGGTGAGTAGCTAGAAGAGCTAGTCTGCTGGAGAATATGCTGCCTTTTCATTCTTAATAAATTTAAAATTTCTGTCTGAGCATCGGTTAGTGGTGGTTGTCGTAGTTGGCTAGCAATATTTTTGCCAAAATAATAGAACTCGTCTTCTACTTCTCTATTACACAGAGCTTGATTTTTAATTGACTGGAGTGTCTCGATTGATTTTTCAATATGTTGAGGCAATGCTCTCTTTGCGCGTTTCCTAGCTGGATGCGGGGGTACAGTAAAATGGCTACTATTAGGCGATGGATGGGCACACAAATCTGAGGGAGGGCTGGTAGGTATATCCGGTGAATGTGGTATATCTGGTAAGACTGGCACCTCTTGTGAAGGGATTTCTGATAATGCATCTGGGGAAGGGAAACTTGACTCGTCGAATTGTACCTGAAATAAAATAAAACTAATTTTAGGTTCGTTTGTATGGCTTACAGGTTCCGAAAACATACGAGGAATGGGATGTTATATCAAGAGGGTACAATCATCGTTGGAACTTTCCTGGATGTTGCGGCGCACTGGATGGAAAGCACATAAACATACAAAAACCAGAACACAGTGGAAGTGATTTTTATAACTATAAAGGTTACTGTAGTACTGTTCTCTTAGCACTTGTAGACAGTAACTACTGTTTCACATATATAGATGTGGGAAGCCAAGGCAGAATGAATGACGCTTCAATTTTCAGTAACTCAATACTGAAAAAGAAATTGGAAGATGGCACACTGAATTTTCCTTCTTGGGGTGTTATATTACGAGACGAAGCATTTCCGTTAACATGCTATTTGATGAAACCCTATTCTCGTAGGCTGCCTTTGACGGACGAAGAGAAAATTTATAATTACCGACTTTCTCGAGCGAGAAGAATAGTAGAAAATGCCTTCGGAATAATGGTATCAAGATTCCGTATTTATCGTACTCCGATATATGTATGTCCAGATAAAGTAGACAAAATAGTAAAGGCAACTTGCGCGATGCATAATTGGCTAATCAAAACAGCTTCGCGATCATACGCACCTGTCGGCACTATGGACACGGACGATAGATCTGGTGCATGGAGACAAGAGCTTAGGTCTATTTATATTGCAGATATGCAGAATCAGGGCAGTAATAATTATTCCCAGTTAGCAGAACAAAAAAGAAGCAACTATAAAAATTATTTCATTGGACAAGGTGCTCTCTCATGGCAAAATGACAGGATATTTTAGGCAAGCAGTAATACTTGTGTTGTAAAATAATAAACCAATAATATGAATGTATATCTTGTTGTTTTATTGTACTTATGGTTAACTCATCGATTGGACATAAATGAGAAATACTAGGAAATCATACCATCGAATATAGTAGGTATATGATCAAAAACCAGCTTTTCTTTAAGCAGTTCCACTACTCACTACTCGTTGTAAAAAGAAGCATAGACCTTGTCAGTCTATTTAAAACCCACTTGATCAAAAAGGATAAACTTGTGCAGGATTAAAATAAATAAAATGGCATCAAAACTACATTTCTCTCTCTAGGATGAAGTTACAAGTAGTACTTACCAGATTTTGAAAGGTTTTTCTCGGCTTAATAATTTCAGACAGAAATCTGTCGGCTATTTCGAACCATGGGACAGATGGTGTATATATATCGTCAGCCCCCGATCCAGTTCCTTGTAACTTTTTAATCTTCATCTTTTCTTGTGAATACGTGCTACGTATGTTATTTATTTTTGTATTGATATCCTGGATGGTGGTGCGTTCTATATTTAAGTTATTTATAATGCGCTGCAGAGCAGCATTTCTTGCGTCTTTATTCTTGTAAGAACTAAGTCTTACGTTCCACAATACCTCTTCTGCTTCATACAGCTCAACAAACTTCAGTGTATCGCGCTCGCTCCACCTTTTTTTCCGAAGCGGTTGCACATTTACATTTGACGCCATTTTGATATAACCGCAATGATCCGAGTCAGCTCGTAAAAGTAGGACACGGTCCGAGTTCACTCTGATCGGACGATAACATCCGAGTGTGCTCGCATTACCGGTTTCCACGCTCCGAGTACCCATCCGAGTGCACTCGGACCGAGTGCACTCGTATCGTGAAAACCCCGTCTAACTGCGTGTGATTACTGCGGCTGAAATATTCATTTTTAGAGCGTTAGTGAATTAAAAAAAGACAGTATAAAAACCGGAATGTACAACTGATAAGGCTCAAAATTTTTTCACTTGTTATTTACAGTAAGATAAATACATTCACCAACTTTTATTAAAATAAAACCATTTAAACTGGGTGTTCGGATTTATATGTCACTTAGTATATATGTAATAAATGCAAAATGTATTAATTTGTTTTCAGGAGTATCAAGTAAAATTTTGGCAGAACACAAAAGAAGCAAGAGTCTTTCTCCTCCCAAAGGTTTCCATAGAGCCAAAGTAGTTTTGGACAACGTTTCACAAGAAACTAAGGCATTAATCCGAAGGAAAATCCACAAATTTTTCTTCCGAAACGAACCATCCACATTTTACAAAATTTTGTTATCAATAAACGACGACGACCACATGCCAGACTTCAAAAGATCGACGTTGGCTACATTGATGAAGGAACGTTATTTTCGGTAAGTGTTGTACAAAAAACTTATTTTGTTTTTTATTTCTCCTTGAAAGTAAAATACAAAACTAAAAAAATCCGTAAAATGTACACACAAAAATAGTTTAGAGTTTTTAATGTTTTTTTATCATTCTTTATTTATTTATTTATTTAATTACACCACCAACAGTTTATAAACCAATTACTGGTGGGAAATACAGTACATATATATATATATATATATATATATATATATATAAAAATCACAAAATAAACTAATTGCATTGATTGCTTAGTAATTACCAATAAGAACCCTTGAACCCATCTATACTTTATGACTAAATTTGCAATTTTGTTAAGATGAATCACCTGAAATTCATTATTCGTATAATATGGTTCGTTGTATTAACGAATTTAAAGATTTAATATAATTTTTAGTTTTGTAGGAAGGAAGAGAAATAGCATCTTGAAAGAAAAGGACGATAGGTTGGAGACGCGTAGATACTTACGCGAAATCTGGAAGCATATAGAAGAAGACAGGAAGATATACTACCTATACGATACCTGGCTCAATGCAGGGCACACTGTTAGCAAAGTATGGGTGGATTCATCAGTCGAGCATCCTCGGCAAGCCTTCCTGGAAGGTCTCTCCACGGGATTAAAAAATTCTTGAGGTAAAGGAAGACGGCTATATCTTACACATTGGATCTGATAATAGCTTCGTGGAAGACGGACTATTGGTATTTGAATCAAAACAAGCAGGAGACTACCACGTCGATATGAATGAAAATTTATTTGAAGAATGGCTTGAAAAAGTTATAAGCCGTCTAGAAGAGAACACTACCATTGTTATGGACAATGCTTCATACCATAGTAGGTGTATTGATAAAGCACCAAACAGTGGAAACAGAAAAGGGGAAATACAGGAATGGCTACGAAGGCATAATGTTCCCTTTGACAACGATATGGTCAAAGCAGAACTTTTGAATCTGGACAAGGGCAATAAAAGTGCTGACAAGTATGTCATCGACGAAATGGCTAAATCTACCAATCGGACTATTTTACGCCTGCCTAGATCCATAAACATACTATAATTACCACGTTTATTTCTACGGCTCTATCCGGATAGACTTCAAAGTAGGTTATCCCAATCCTGTGTTAATCCTGACCGCTAATTTCGAAGGAGTCCAAGATTTTGACGTTATCAGTTTTGGTTTGACTTGTGGATTGCCGAAATAAACGGTCAGGATTACACATGATTGGGATAATCCAAGTCGAGCCGGATAGAGCCATCGAAATAAACGTGGTAATGAATGCAGGTAGATTCATTATTAGGTATTTTATTAAAAAGATCCAGAATCCAATCTAAAAAAGAATTTAATTTTTGAACCCTTTTCATTATTTTTTCCCATGTATTAAAATTATTTTTGTTATATAAAAAATATGTAAAGTTAACGATTTATAAACTGGGGCAGCATATTTAATATATCAATGTAATAAACCTTATAGCACCTTGAAAGTAATGAAAAGATAGAAGAAACAGTGAAAATAAATTAAATGGTACCTCAATTAATGTTGAAACCTACACGCCTCTGGCGATAACGCATTATCGGTTTTGCAGGTAGTTATGCGGTGTAAATCGGACTGCTCTGTCACTTGTTTTATTACTTCGTACGTTCGCTGGATAGATTATAGTAACTTTCCTAAACAAATCTATATATGTAACTAGTAATATAGCTCACGTCCGTCCAACCTCAATCGGTCAACCAGGGCCAGCTATTTTGTGCTATTTGGCGACTCCTCAGCGTGGTGTAGGCTTGGTCTCAGGCAGGACAATGAACGAAAGTGGAGCAACTATCCTCTGTCCATATTATAAGGTCTATCGAAATCGGACAGCACTTTTTTCTGTCTTATTTCGATAAATCTATATATGAGTTAATGTTCTCAATTTAGGATTAGATGTATTTGCCATAGTAGTTGACATTTTTGAATTGAAAATAAATGCGGACTTGTGTATACATCGAAAAAAAAAATAATCAGCAGAAAACTGTTCACAAGGGTTAGTGAGACTGACGCCCAAGACTTCAGTTTTCATTCCCCATATTGTCTACACAAACAAGCTCAACCAAGTTCTTTGTAAAGATTTCCTCAAATTCCGTTACATATGAAACGAAGCTCCGAAAAGGCACTATCAAGCCTCCAAATTTACCTTGGGTTATTCTGGAAATTAAAAGTGAAACTACACAACAGCTATTGGTGATATCGCGTTTTTGAGTGTTAAACTCATGAATCATAGATAAATTTTGAATTATTTCAAATCACTTTATTTTGCATTGAGCCACGCAGCACCAACTTGTCACAGTGAATCGCCCTGTAAACATCCAACAGTCACGCTCCACTTCCGCCGCGACGGCGTCATCGACAACCTGGGTAGTAGAAGTATCTTCGCATCTGCTTGTAAAGATATTTTACTGTTTTATGGAATATTTCGTTCAAAAAATACCCCTTTTAATAAATCTGCATGTTGCCAGACCTAAGATTGCGTGAGTAAATTGTTTTTCTTTTATCGTAGTGCAAAAAACCTAATCAGAATATTTTTCTGAACAGGTGCGAAGATCTTCCTGAACTATTACCGCAGGTAATGAATGGGTGATCCCATCCAAATGGCAGGTAGCATTTCAGCTACCAGCGGTATCATCTGGGCCACCGCGGCAGAATCTGTTTTTTTTGTGATGGTGTGGTAACTCTGTATTCTTTGGCTTTACTATGATAAGGTTGTTGGACGTTAGTCGTCTTAATCAGATTAATTGTAGCAGTATATCCAAGATGTAGAATTCTATACATACCTCGATGGAGAAGACAATTATTGTCCTCGCACATTATATTCCTCAGCGCTAAGTTATGATAAAAAAGTTCTCGGCCAATAATCGCTTACTTCTTCACAAAGGTATGTGTATACTATTTTTCACAATACAATACGTGACTGAAAGATTAGCATACAGTAATAAAATTAGTACTCGCTAGGCATAACCTCACATAACTAGCATGCTGCTACTAAAACACAAGCAGTAAAGAAGCAACGATTCTAGCCGTTTTGGTACGGTGGTAATACGAACTGTATTATAACGGTATTGCTAATTATTTACATAATTATATCCTTCTTGATCTTTTACAAAAATGGATATAGAATAATATACAGACTCATTCTTTCATTTTTTATTTGTTATGGTGGAATATTTAATAAATACTGTCACAGGTTTGTAAAATTCTACACAATGAGGTATCAGAAAATGAAGAATACTTTGATATTTTATACTATACGTACATATACATTTATTGCTCACCAAGAGCTATACAAGATGATCCAGGATACTGGGTGAATTATTCACAGGTATTAGAAGGAAGCACATATTAAATGGGAGTTTTCCAACAAGCACACGATAGTCGTATTCAATACAAGCATTTTAGTTGATCACAATATTTTTTCCATCTCTAAGTGTAAACCTGGTTATGTTTCAATCACCTTGTACATTTGCGACTAAAAAGATTTTGTATGTATATAGTGTTGTCCAGCATATGACAATTTTCAGTCCAGAATTATTCAATATCGATCATCAGATTAGACGAATAGGTGATAATTATATAAAAAAAATAGGAAAATAATATCAATCTTTCCAGCCATTCTGCTCTTCAACCATAAACCATATTCCCACTTTTATGAAAATATGTCGTATATTGAATTATCTATAAAATAAGACTCAAGTGATAGGTAATGGGAGGCTTAGAAGCAGTTATATAAAAGTTTAATAAAAGTGTGTAAAAAATCAGTAGATTTAAACGCTTTTGATATTACTCCGGAAAGGACAAGGCACGATTTTTATGAAACAAATTTTCTAGCTAGTTTTTCGGTAACTAGACGTTTTGTCTATCTACTTACAATATAACCCTGTTCAGGTCTCCCTGAACTTCAATATTAAGTGTCAAAAATTAGTATGAACATAATTCTGTATTTTATAAGAAGCTGTCATTTGCCATTTTTATAAATATGGCTAAATTGGTTTTATGCATGAAAATATCGATGTGGCTCATTTGCTTGAGTAAATGTGTAAAAAAGAATGCTTAAGTATTCTGAAAATAATAAATACATCATGTTAGTGATAATTTTTTGTCCCTTCCGTGATATGTAAAAAAGACAATTACCCTAACTGCCAATTTGTCCCGTCTTTGCAACAAGGTACTCGAGTCACTGTTTAATGGCAAGCACCGATTAATCAAGAAAATGCACTACATTTCTAACTTAAAGCTCAAATGAAGTTTCCCAATTTCATGTATGTTTAGATTTAATTTTAAATCTGAAAGGTATAGGATGTCTGGTCTGACGCAACACAATTTTTGCCTTTGAATATATGTAACTTTCAAAGCTGTCAAGTGTGCTGAGGCGGAACAGATATCGATGTATTATAAATATAAATTATTACGACCATCTATTTATCAAACTTGTCATTAAATGTATCATAGAATCTAAAAATGGTGTTACATTTAAAATGCATAAGTTATGTTGCGCTCAGCTCAGACGAAGTAGTAGTGACCTACCCTGTATATCAACTATATTTTTTTCTAGTCTTGAAGCAGTCTTTTACAGTACTTTTCAAACAGGTCGCTTACTCATTTTTTTAATGGGTCAACTTAGAAAGTTAAAATTCGGGGTAATGAAATTAATGCTTGAATACTATGTTTTAGAGTAAGAGTGACAGTTGACAATTTCTAGATGGCAGCTGGGTACCATTTTGAAGCTCCTTATAAGTGGGTTATAGGATATAATCACTATCTTTCAAAGCGGCGATCTGGCAGGCTGTCAAAGTTGAGTATTTTTGCTTGCATATTGGGTCGCTTACATCTCCACAATGAATTATCAAAACACTATGTCATATTAATCTTCTTCTCATGGAAGGGTCTATCCAAAGATAGAAAATTCGGATAATTCCATTCAAAATGTTAAAAACAGACAACTTTTTTCAAAGGAATTCCGATATCCGCCTGCAAAGGAAGAAGATTATAACACACTATAACGCTTTGATGATTAGTTGTTGAGTTATAAGCGATTCAATGTACAAAAGCGGTCAACTGCCTGCCAGTCTACCATTCTGAAATATAATGGTTTAGAACTCTAGGATTATAAAGCACTCATAAGCAAAATTAGATATAACAATACTCCTTATCGCATTAAAAAAATATATTACCAGATGACACTCAGCCGCCAACTTGAAATTTCAGTTTCCTAACTTGATCCGTTAAAAAAAAATATGGGAGGCCTTTCTGAAAAGCAACCTGTATATAATGCTTGCATATTCGCAGTTATCAATATCATGTGTTGAAATTGGTATGTATTGCACGTACACACAATAAAATACTACTAAAACAAGTCGAAGATGGCAAGTTTACAAGAAAATTTAATCACAATTTTGCCTCAAAAACCGAGCACGAATTCTTCAAAAGCAAAATACATATTGGCTGGAGGTGAATAAAACATTTTTAGGCTGCCATAATCACATGGTCATATGAGTATAAAAAATCCAATTGAAGAAAACTCATGTTCAGTCCAAACGAGTGTAACTGAAACATTTTGGCATTTTTAACTTAATTACTTTACTTAGACCTATATATGTCATACATGATATCTCAATAACCTTATACCTGTCTACAAGCTCAAATTTCGTGGTACCCGCGGCTGATCCCAGGTAGAAAATCAATGCACAACTTTCATGTGGTATGTTTATACAAATCGTTGAAAATGTAGCAAGCTAGTGTTACTCAGACAAAGGGGTGCTAAAATTAGTTGCTTCTAAACTGAGTTCAAAATCATCACAAGGATGGTCTAAACGTCATACAATAAAAAAAAATCTAAACATATACATATGTGTGGTTTTGAATCGGCCAAACAATCGAGTCCTATGAACATGAAAATCGCAGGATAAGTTTCAAGAGTTACGTTATACAATCTTGTCGATTTAAAATTGATATAAACATGATTTTTTAGAGAAAGTTCTTGCTCCAGTAAATGCGAATAACATAAGTCTGGCACTTATATTATTACTGAAAAATGATTTCCTAATAAAATAAAAATAGTACCATCTATCAGTTCAGCTGATCTCAAAGATTTTGAAAATTCGATATTTCAGAAATGCATAAGTTTGTCGAAAACCATAGTTGTTTTTATTTTTCTATTATTTGAAATAAATTCCGGTGTTGGGAAATATTAAAGATCGTTTTTCTTTAGTATCGGTTAGTAAGTGTAAAAGTAACAGTTAAAAATTTCAAGATGACGGTTAGACGCAAATTACCTATAACATCAAAATGCAAGTTTCAAATATTGTGCATAGATTAGTAACAAACACATGTAAGCCATAAAAAGCTATACTATTTGATGGAATGTATTAAACGTTACTGAAATGAATAGTAATACAATACCAGACTGATTGTTTGATATGAACCTCAATCAACTTGTAGCAAAGTTTATATAAGCAACTTTTCCTTTATGTACACCTGAAAAGAGACAAATAACTGTCTCTCCATGATCAGCCCTAATTATTGGTAAAGTACATAACATTTACGTCAGCAATGACAGCCTAAATATACGCATGTTTACCTCGTTAAAGGTAAATACTCACACTTAGTTTTGACAGGCTTTTTCGGCATTAATAACAAGCATGGAAGATACTTCAGATGTTGCATGTTTTAAATATATGGAAAGTGACACCTTTCAACAACGACAAATCATGATGTATATGTAAATTTAGTTTTAAATTTTATATAAAATATTAGTTATACATTAAAATTCTACCTGAAATAAACCATACAATTGTTAACAAATAGTATCGATTAATACCGATCAGAAAATACAGAGACAGTAACAAATCAGATTTAATATGCGAATCCAGCATCATTAATGGTCTGCACGATTTTTTGAACTGAATTAGCATATGCGGCGGACCTTAAATCCAGTCCCAAATTGTATTTTTGGGCAGTGTCTTTTAAAGCCTGTAATTAGAATTATTTTAATTGTTTCAGATTGCAGATAACGAGGATATACATACATTGTAGTCTTTTTAAGCATATGCAGAGGATAGGATAAATGATAAGCATTTAATGGAACCACACGCTATGAATTTTCATTAAAAAATGATTTGATGTGAACAAGAAACTTTGAGTCTATAAACTATTAAAACAGAAGAAATATTTTCGATATATAATTTTACTTGTAAAAATATTTTCTTTTCTGTAAACATAAACTGCGCAACTTAACTAGCGGGTATCTTTCTTTGATCAATCATTTTAGCAATACCACTTGTCTAATTTAGTTGCGGACTTGAAACAAATGTAGTCTCAAACTTTCTCCAACAATGCTTTAAAGTGCATCGCGATCGAATGGAGTGCCTGCGCTAGGGCATTTAGAGTTGCGCGAGATGCCCCAAAACTTCGTCAGCTAATAATTGGTCCTGTATTACAGACAGAAAAATATTTATAGTTTTTGTTAATCGGTCCTGTTATGATAGATAAAATTCAAAAAAAGTAATTTAATTACTATTCCTTTTGTAACTTGCAAAGTAGATTTTGAAGAAATTTTGAATTGCTTGTCTAATGGTTTCCAGTATTATGACCATGAACTCCCCCAAACTTGACTTTTTTTTAGTTTCTGATGCTCTTGAATGCAATCAAAAATTATTTTAGAGGATACAAAATTCAGAAAGAAGTTAAAGTTTGTTGATATACTTCAAACGTAGTCAAGTGTTTATTTGAAGGATACAAAGAGAAAGAGAAAGAAATCTGGCAACACGTTTTTCAAATTCTAATCATCCACTCACTTTTGTATAACCCCAAATACAGCACGAGCAACACGAGAAATGCAATTCGAAAATATGTGGGGTGGTTGAGAAATCGGGAAATTGCTGATCTAGAAATGTCATAAAACTTCTTTAATCTGGCTAACTAACCCATTGTGAACCCTGTTGTAAAATAAATTTTACAGTAGAATTTATATATTCTTTAGAGAAAATGCTAAAGCTCATCATCTTCAAATAAAAAAATCTGGGAATCTTTTTTATCAAACTTTAAAGTTATAAGTCTACTGAACAACTGGGAAATTGATGAAAACACCTTTATAATGATAATTAATGGGTATCTCTAGTTCATTATAAGGGTTATTGCAAAAAATCGTTCATTCTTGCCGACAAGTGCATAAGAGCAAATATGAAATAGCCAAAAGTTAGTCTTTGTAGTGATTAACATAAAAAAAAAACTTTAAAAATGCTCAAGCTATCCAGCGTCGTAACTGCTGCAACAAATTAGATAGACAAGGTGAGTTTTAAGTCTACATCTAACTTAGATTTCAACTAATACAGCTTGAGAAGAATCCTGCACTTTAATAATTCAATTATTGTAGAAAATGTTTTCTCAATTTAATTTTTGGAGCTAGGGGGCCAGCTACTCACCTTTGCCCCTCGCCCACTGGGTAGGCCCCTGGGTCTCCATTGTAACTCTTTTCTCATATCCTTACGTTTCGGAAGATAAATCGTGGATAAGCGTATATTGAAACCGTTTCCAAACTAACGTGCATAGTTCTGCTTCACATCTGATACCTCAATCATTACATGGCTACTTAAGGTCACTCACTTAACAAGTTTCGTGACCCCCAGGGGGCCCACTGTAACATACCTTTTTCTGAACTCAGGAGCGAGAAGTTACATGGTTTATTCTAACAGTTTCAATAGCATCAAAAACGCTCTTTTCTATCATTTCATCCCGGACTACATTATCAGTGCACAGTTACTCGAATTATATTAGCAAATTTTAAATAAATAATTGTAATGTTTGGTTTTATCAATGCAAGTTCTTCTGAGGGATATTTAAAACATGGCTGTATAAAATGAGAAAAAACGAGACTAACCATAAGAAGATCCAATTAAAACAAAAAGTCATAGTCTGAAACCTAGTCAAAATGCAACTTTTGGCGCTTGTTGGTCCTGCGACGATGGAATTACGCAGTTACTTGAAATTTCTCAAATCTGTCGGTCTCTTACTTCTGAATAACCACAACAAAATGCAGTAAGTTTGCTTATCTCCGCTGTGAACTAATAATGTAGTCTGAGATGCAATGATGGAGAGGTTATTGACACCAACATGAAACCATAATATCGCTTTTCGCTCAAAGGGTCCTATAGATAAAGGATTGTGCAACGCGAGCTATGATTTTCAGCTTAATCTGTGAGCCAGGGAAAATATGGCAAGGACGTGAAACTGATAATGCAGGCTTCTATGTTATGCTAAACTGCCCCCCCCCCCTGGAAGTGGATATGTCACGAAATTTGTTAAGTCATGGCCCTAAATCTCAACAAGCAACTGTGACAAGAGGTCAGAACTGTTGATAACATGACTTGGAATTATGCACGTTATTTTATAACATTGCTCTAGACTCTAAGACACATATGTGCGAGCCGGAACAGTTTAATAACCTGTGGTCAAATCGAAGATCAAAAAACCGTCTGTACACGTTCACAATTCGTTGCTCCGGGGTTCATCCTTTGAAAAGGGGTACCACGGGAGCCCAAACGTTAGATACGTCATTCTGTCCATATTCTCGGTTAGAGGAAAAATTATAGCACCAGAATATCACACAATAACAGTCACAGATCGGTAAAACCACGTGAAGATTACTACAACTTTTGTTTTGGACATCACTCTAAGTGACCTAGCATTCCTTATTCGATCGCGATGCGATTTAAATCATTGCGCAGGTCGTGCTAAAATAAGTGATCAAATAAATTAATCCGATAATTAAGTTGGACACCTTAGACTGTGAACTTAATAAGCAAATTATCTGTTAAGCTTCTTTTAGGAATAGTACTCTGCACCAACATCTGTATACCGTATTTCCATATATCTTGTTTGTATATCAAAAAAGAAATAAGTAATCATGGAACTGGGAAAATGTCTCCTTGAAACTATATTTGCTAACTATTTTTTAAATACACTGAAAGCGTTTGCCTGCATTAGACTCTCATATCTCAAAAAAATTGAAATAAAGAGTTATGACGAAACTACTGGCGTATTCATTTACATATGAACTGCTAGGGACAACACAGAAGTTTAAGCTAGGCATAATTCGAACTATTCTCAAATGAACACGCCGTTTAGCACTCTTTGATGTAATGTGCAAATGAAACCACATAATATGTATAAATTACTTTTTACTGACGTTTCAACCACCACGGTGACATTTTTTGTAATTCTACCGTAGGTTCCGCAGAAGTCATTAAAAAGTAATTTATACACTTGTGGTTGCATTTGACCAGAAAATCGAGTTCTATTTGCATAAGAACCACTGGAAGAGTTTCGGGTGTTAAATGAATCTGGTGTATATTGCTGCAGCACCTATTAAAAATTTTAGATACAGCTACACTGAAAACCAAATTTGTCTGACGGCTTGAGTTTAATGTGTACGAGAGAGAAGTATGTATACGTATAATATGTTAGAAATAGATAGAAGCCAGCTGGATAGCGAAGCTCATCCCTACGTTGCTTAGCAACGTTGACGCGCAATTTGCCGCGTTGCCAATATGTTACACCAGTTACTTGAATTGAGATGCATATTGAAAATATGCGTTAGTTTATTCTGTACGCTCAAATAAAGGCGTAAAACCAAATTAAAATACCTTAAAACGTTGTGCATATTAAACTAAGTGATTTGTGTACTTGGACAAGAATTTAATGTGATAATAACATGGGACTTGAATCCATAAAACATGATTTAAACATCTAACATCAAAGCGAGAAGAGAAGAAATTAGTGATCAGCATGTGGGAGACATAAGGAATAACACAAACGTCTGTGATACAAACCTCCTACAAAATGTGAAATCTACTTAATGAAATGGTATTTTTGAGTTGGCTTCATGTCAGGTTATATTAGTTATTTTAATGTTTATTTTTTTGTTCGCATTTTTGTACACACTATAATAAAAATAAAATGTATTCACTAACATTATACTATTTGTACATTATTTTACTTACTTTTCTCTATTTACAAACACTGCCCATCTATTTCTTTGCTCTAATTTTGATGGTGGTGTAGCAAACAAAATTTGTACGAAGCGTTTTTCCATTGTTTTACAGTTTACAACCCATTTCGGGAATTATAAGGTTTTAAAATGAAAATATTTAGGAAATTTAGCGTGGAATAGTATGTGAAATATAGCAATTTGATAAATGACAATCCAGAGGTATTTCATATATCTGCCACATTGCGCGCTGCGATCGTGAACGATCTCCATACATTGCACATAGCGAATATCATCACCCTGCTTTCTCAATACTGCTCGATGTAGAATCAAAGGAAAGCCATTTTCTATCAATTCACAGACGACCCTTTATTGACACGTAAATTATATACTACAGGTACGGTTCAGTTTATACTATTCATTGATGCATACAATACCTACTTTTCAACTCAACCTCTTCAGGAAAATAGTACATGATGATGTGTGAATAAATGATTCGCAAATAAATATTTTTATTCGAATAAGATATGTTGTTAGCTATGTTGTGAAAAAGACAAATGCTCGTAAGTTTTTTGCAACTAATAGGAAAAAGCCCATAAAAAGCAAAGTCGAAAGGACTGAATTAAAATAAGGAAACAGAGTGGTGCTATTAACTTGTGTATACACTTTTAAAAAATCAAAATTGGCAGCTATTAGCATCAGGTAGAACTGCAGTGATCGATTGGTCAAAAAGTTGCCGTTAGACAATTGTAAAAATTTGGGGCTATAGCTTAAAATTGATTATAGCAATTCGGCAAAATTTAGCGCTGAACTGAAGTTAGATACTGACTTGCTTTTGTATATTATTCGATTTTTAGATTCTACGCGAGATTCTAATGTACTTAAGTCTATGGATAAAAGTCTGTAAGCCGGGTTTTCGGCCTTGAAAATAACTCAACTTTAAAGCTGATCACGTAAATGAAATTCGATACCATTCTGTCAAGATGATAATACACCCCATTTGGAATACTGTTTTTGAGTTACACGCAAAAGAAACTAAAATCATGCAATAAACCATCGCTGGTTCAATAATGAAGATCAACTCCTTTGTTATCTTATTTTCATCATTTATCATAATGTATAGACACCCCTCTACAAATATATAGTTTCCATGTTATCGAAAAATGCCGTACACGTTATAAAAAATAAAGTTGGTTTACTGAATGGTTAGATTTTCTAGTGCTTCGTGGCTTTTCGAACCGATTTATAGAAAAATTGGCGACAGTGTGAAATCATTGAAAAAAA